ACAAATTATGTCGTATATTTTGAAATTGTTGCTGAGACAGAAATGGAGATTTGTAAACCAGTTTTCATTGCAGCATTATTCACCATCACAAGAACATGGAAGCAGCCCATATGTCCAGTCACAACTGAATGGATTGAGAAATTGTGGTCCATTCACACGATGGAATACTACGCAGTGCTCAGGAGTGCAACGATTTTGAAAAAGAACTTGCTTTTTAAGCAGCAAACTGACAGACCTTTTTTCTGAGTTAAAATAAGAAATATCATTCTCTTTATGCCATAAAAAATTTTTTATTTACCACCTTGTTTACTCAGAAGTGGGGTATATAGAGACCATTGGAGGCTCAGAGCCATTTGGGGTGGATTACTGTTGATTAGAATGAAATAATTGAATAATTAAAATAACTAACTGGAGATGCCTCATTGATTTAAACTCCTCAAACTGGTTCTTAAAAAAATTACCCAGTTTTGAATTCGTTTGCTCAGCGTGCCTGAAGGATGCATAGTCCCTCGACAGGCAGCAGGGAATGGGCAATTTGTGGCAGCAGATGTGAGGCCCGGGCTGGTGTTTTGTTGTTACTTCTGTAGTAAAAACCAAAGTGATCCGAAGTGACGCATGATAGGAATCACAATCTGTGCTGCTTAGGCTTCGTTATCTAAGGTTAGAAGCGTGTCTGTGTAGAAGTGTCAGCATGACATTGACTTGGTTATCATTCCATGGCAATTTTTCTTATCCTGTTTATTTCATTTGGGTAAAAGGCAGTGTCTTCATACAGTTTGAAAAGAAATACGTATACGTACAAAAACACATGTGCATATATAGAAATGTGCATGCGTTGAAGGCTCTGTCCTCTCTCTGCCAGCCTCAGGCAGCTACTGTGTGGGTGGGCTGTGTGTGTGTCTTCCTGCACATGTACATGTATACTTAGGACTTACCTGTGTGTTGTACCCTCACCACATTTTAATACCATATGCTCTGTTCTGCACTTGGTGTTTAATTATACTTGTATATTAGTCTAGATACGTGGGGAGCTCTCTTTGCCATAGACTAGATTACCATATCACTTTTTTATTGGTGGTGTTTTCTGTCCTGATTTCCTTGTTTGTTTGACTACTTTGATGTGGGGTTTTTGTTTTAATTTTGTTGGTAAAACTGTATTGTGAAATGTACAAATAATAAATGTTCAGTTTAGGTAGTTTTGACCAAGGTGTAAACTAGCGTGTTCAGGTACAGAACAGTTCACTCACCGGAAGTTCCCTCATAGTCTTTCACAAATCAGTTTCTCCCCCTGGGGCCAATCGCTAAGGCCTTCCTGCTTGGCATTTGTGTTTTGACTCTCAGAAATTCATGTAAATGGAATAATTCAGTGTGTCTAGTTTTTTGGTGTGTTCAGCTTCTTTTGGTAAACAAAATCTCTCTTTCATCTATACTACTGTATCCATACAGAAGTTATTTTTCAAGATTGTTTTGCCCAAGATCCTTTGCATTTTCATATACATTTAGTTCAGCTGGTCACTTGCTATAAAAATTGCTGAAATGAAGATTGACATAAATCTGAGGGGAAAATACACCTAACTGAGGGAAATGGACACATTTTTTTACCCTGCTACTATATAAGCATGGTAGATCTCTATTTTGTGTTTGTGAGCTGTGATGGTTTAGGGGTAAGGAGTTGTACTGCCAACTCCAAGGCACTAGGTTTGAAGCCTGCTGCTTCCTGGGAAAACGGTCAGCTGTGGGTCAGTACAACAACAGCTGTCTTACAGCCAAGTATTTAGTCATCAGTGAGGAGATGTGTTAAACTTAAGTATTTGTCTTTGTTTTTTCTTGTCTTACTGCACTGACTATGCCTTCAGTATAATCATTGATTACAATGGAATCAATGTTCATCTTTTTTCCCCTAGTAAAAACACTTAAGCTGTCTATTTTCCCTTAAGCATTATTTTACCTTCATCCTGCGTATTTTTTAAAATGTTGTGGGATCATTATAATTTAAAGCAGTTTCCTAATTTATGATTTCTTCTTTAACCCATGGGTTCTTTTAACACTTGACGTCTTTTTATTTTTGAGTGAAAGTTTATAAATCCTATTGGTTATTCATCTAATCATTCTTAGATACTTAGTTTTATAGCATTAATGACCATTTATGAATGTAATTAATTTATTACAGTGTCTAATCAAGCCCTTACTGTATATTGATTTTCTCTTCACCCAACTTAACTGTTTATTAATTTTTACTCCCCTCTCCCTCCATTCTCATCCATGTTAAGCCTCCAAAATTCTGTGGCTAAGCCTTAGGTTTTTGGTATTAATGTTCTTATACCGTAATTGTCCTTTTGTGACTTACTCAGCATAATTTGTTCTAGATTTATCTATGTTAAGCAGTGTTCCATGAATTCTTGTTTTTTAGTGACGCCTGCTATTCCATTTTGTGAATGTTCCATAGTGTCTTTAGCCATCATCAGTTGATGGCCATTAACCAGTGGATGTTAGGTTATTAATCCATGGACATTGGGGTTCTTTAGAAGTGCATCTTTGGAGGTACACTGTTCAAATCCACCAGATGCTCTGCTGGAGAAGGAGGAACAATCTCCTCCTGTACCAGTCAGATCTGATTTGATGATATACACACACACAAAATTTAAAAATTTAAAAAAAAAATAATTAAGAAGTGTATCTTTGATTCCCAAATATCCGAGCTTTTCTAAATACCTTAATGATTTCTAATTTAATTCCGTTGTGTGCTTGTCAGAACATAATCTGTAAGATGTAAAATGTTTCATTTTTAAATCTGTGTCACTTGAATATTCTGTAAATGCCAGATCCAGGTGATTGACACTGTTGTGCAGATAAATGGATTTAAATGATTTTGATCTAGCGGTCCAAGCAGTTACTGAGATTACTTAGATATCTGATCTCTTTGGTTCTTAGTATTAGGTGTTGCTTTTTTTGTGTGTGTAAAACTGTGTAGATTGATGCAGAAGTGTTACATCCGATAAGCCCACCTGCTTATGAGCTATCTGTTGATAAACTGATCATTTTCTTTAAAATGTACTACTTCTGAGATTCTTTGTGTTTTAAAGTCTTTTTGTAGCTTTATTTCATCTCTTATTCAGTCTGACGTCTCTGCCTTTTAATTGGAGTTTTGAGCTTATTTATGTTTAATGTGACTGTATAATTTTGTGAGAAACTGATTAATAATTGTAGCTAATGGTAGCAGTTGCAAGTGTCTTGGTTGGGACTAGGGTCCAGATCTGCCTACTTCTGCATTGATTGGTGACACATTCTTAAGGACTACTGTTTAGTCTTCTCTGATGCCTTGCAAGGCTTAAGTAAAATACCACTTAAGCTCTCAGTGTTCTTGCGTTGGTCCCATAGTTCCTTGAGGAAGATCTTGCTAATGCCATAAAAGCAGAAGCAGCTCTTAATCTGCATTTCTGTTAATCTTTTCTTTGAGTTTTCCCAGAAGACTTGATTGTGTTTAGATTTTTGAAGCTTCAAATGCCTGACTTGTAAAAGTCAGAATTCAATTCTGTGCTGTGATATAAAAGACTTGGCGTTGACCTTGTTTCTAGTAGGTAATTGATAAATATTTTCCAAGTAAGTGGACCATTTGTCATGAGCTTTAGGTAATACATATTAGTGAAGAAAAAAGATCTAAAAGATGCTCAGATTTCCTGGTTCTTCCTATTCTACTCTGGTTAGTCAAAGGTGAACTCCTGTGACCTTTTAAAAAGCAAGATGACCATAAAAATTTCTCAAGAAGTGATCGTTTCTGGACAGGCTTGCTTACTTTCTTTTAAAAAAACAAAATCCAAAACTTTGCTGTTTTAGAGTGACTGTCTCCCCCAAAGCTGAGCTTTCTGTTTTCTTGAAGTTGTTCAGGTTCTATTGAATGATATGTGGCACTGAGGTCCAGCTTTACATGTGGTTGGTCTGTTACCCAGCCAGAAGTCTGCACTTTTCACCATTGTTGTTTGAAATATTTCCTTTTGAAAGTATGTAAATTTGAAATCAATTGTTTGGTTTTCAGAAGTCCTTGTGTTATGCGCTCTCCCTCTTGAAATTTTGATGACCTTGAAATGTGTGAGAATTGAATTTGATAAATTGTACAGCTTAGGCCCTGAAAGACCGTGGAGAGCAGAGAAGCCCCATTCTAAAATAGCCTCTGAGGTTCTTCCATTTTCTTGTACGTCAGAAGAAGTCACTAGGAAAATAGGGTTATTTTCAGGGCTTATTGTATTATGCAAAGATGAGCTACCAGAAAAATTTCAATGTTTCTGTCTTCTAGTATTAATAATAAAAAGTGATTAGTATATGCATATATCCCTTCAAGAAATTGGCATGTTGACTTATTTTGTTTAATCAGCGAAGTAACTCTTAAAACCTTCTATGGTGGTTTATTATATTAAAATGACCTCAAAGTCTACGTTTTATCTCATTTGTGATAAAGAATGATCATGATTTTCAGGTAAAAGTGAATATATACAAGTCACCTAACCAAATAACCTGAAAATCTTAACTGTTGGCTATTTATGTATTTTACATTGATTGTTCAATATGTATATAGATATATACTAAACATAATAAATAGTTCAACTTCATTTTAAAATTAGATCTTTTTTTTTTGTTTTACAAAGCTGGATTATAAAATGAGGCACTTTGTTGGTACATATAATGGGATAGGTGTTAAATCTTTCATTTTGGATAGAGAAAATGGGAAAAGGCTTTATTCCTATGATTTCATTAAGCTAGAAAGCATTGGTGTTCACATTTTAAAAACATAATCATAACTTATTAGAGTCACATGTTCCATTTTATTGGCTTCCTTCATGTAGAAAATATAGTTAACAATACTAAATACGTGTGAAAAAGTGAAGCAGTGTATATTTTCTGGGTGAAGGAAGTATTCTGTACATTTTCCATGTTTACATCATGGTATTTTGAATAACCATGCTTCCATGTTCACATCAATTTTTTGTTTTTCAATTTATGCACAGCACTTGCTCTGAAATTTGGGGACTGAGTACACCAAATACGATAGATCAGTGGGATACAACAGGCCTTTACAGCTTCTCTGAACAAACCAGGTGAATATTCTGCCCTCCGTGGAATCCCAGAGTTCTTGGGGGAGGGGGTGTCTCGGGGACCTAGAGTGGGCTGTTTATCCTTTTTGCCTGATATGTTTCCGGGATGTAAGATATGGCATAGCACTTAAAATGACTTGCTTGCCAGTATTGAAAGTATATTAAATGTTTCAACTGATGTTTTGATCAATGGAATTCTATTTTTTTGAATCTTTAAATCATTGCATCCCCCAAAGAACAAGAATTTCTAACTATTCATTTTAGCTTGAGGTTAGATTATAATTTCTTTGTTGGCCTAATTTTTAATTAGTCACATATCCAATTTGCTCTAAATTTCTTGCTGTCATCTAATTTTCATCTTCTTTATACTAATAAATATGTAGTTATTTACTGAACCCCTTATCACAAGAAATGCGAGGCTAACTTGTTTTCTTTTTTTAAAATCACCTTATTTTCTTTTTAAGCATATTTGTCCATTTCATCTCATCATATTCATTACCATCTGCATTTATGTGTGAACTCTATATAAATATACCTCAGTGCTAAAAACAACCACAACTGGGTAACGAGTTCGAGTGGACTGAGTCGGTTACTACAGTTCCATCATTGTTGTGTGGTATTTACCATTCTTTACATTGGTTCCCTTTTTTGATAACTGCAGAATCAATGACCTTAAAGCATCCCTAAGCAAGAGTTCAGTTGACTGAAATAGAAGTCTGGCTATTTACTATTTTAAAGTTCATTTTCCTCCCCAAGTGATTAGCCATTCATTGACATTTAGTCATTTATGTAACATATTTATAAGTATACATTTTTCTTCCTTATTTTCACTAAAACTAACTGAATGTCTGTCGTTCTTTCTGTATGCGTTTACAGTACTAATCTAGCCTATTTTTTCCCTTGTTTTAAAATTCTCCTTCCTTCTCCCTTTGCTCCCATAGGTCTCTTGATGGCCGCCTGCAGGTGTCTCACCGGAAAGGACTGCCCCATGTCATCTACTGCCGGTTATGGCGCTGGCCAGACCTTCACAGCCATCACGAACTCAAAGCTATTGAAAACTGCGAATATGCTTTTAATCTTAAAAAGGATGAAGTCTGTGTAAACCCTTACCACTATCAGAGAGTTGAAACACCAGGTAGGGAAATAGCAGTTTTTCTTCCTTATTTTAAGTGACGTTCTTGGATTGATATGTATCTTTATGTTCCTGTGACTTCATGAAATTTTACTGTAAGATCCTAATAGATTACCTGCAATTCATTTGGTCGTAATTCAGAATAATGCTTGAGGAGTTACACTGCCAACCCAGAGGCGTGTTGTTCGGATCCACCAGGTGCTTCATGGGGGAAAGATGGACTGTCTCTTTCCTTGCAATTTATAGCCTCTAACAGCCCAGTGAGGGGTTGGGGATCAGCCATGAGGACAGTTTGACTTGATGGCACTGAGTGGTTTTTATTAAGTTTAATTGCTGCCACATTGGTTCTTGACTTAACACGGAACCCAGTGTATGTGGGTATAGAACTTTGCTTTGGGGAGGATTTTTTAGTGGTTGGGTATTTGGTAATAACTCACCAAGCCTACCTTACAAGGTACCTGGTGAGGAACTGATGGCTTTAACCATTCACATTACCCTGCAACTCCAGATGCACCCTGACTTTTGAAAATTAAGCTTCCCACTCCCCTTTATTTCTGACAAAAATGTAAATTTAGACATTTCCTTTCTTTTCTCCTTGCCTTTAACTTTGGTTTCTTTGACTCTTTCAGTTTTGCCTCCAGTGTTAGTGCCCCGGCACACCGAGATCCTCACGGAGCTGCCGCCGCTGGATGACTATACTCACTCCATTCCCGAAAACACTAACTTCCCAGCAGGAATTGAGCCGCAGAGTAATTACATCCCAGGTACATTTGTCTGTTTCCTGAGTCTCCTAAAACTTGGATAGACAGATTCTCCCCACCCCGTCAAAACGTTGAAATATCTGTAAGTTGAGGTTTGACACCTCTCCACCCACCCCTAGAAAACTTCTGGATATTTAATAGAAAACCTGGATTTGTTGGATGACAGTATCCTGAAATATGTGTGCATAGTACTTTAAACATTTTTATCTTGAGAAAAGTTTTACTTCATATTTCATTTTCTTTTGCAGTGGCTTTAATCAAAGTACTGTGAGAAGCAGAAAAGAAAAGATCTTAGTAAGTTCATCTTAGTTGTTGAAGCTGAGAGATAAGAAGAATGCAAGCAAAATAAATAGTACAGGAAAAAATATGCCTGAAATAAATAGAACTTAAAATTGACCAGATTATCTTTTTTTTAGTTTATGTTTAAGAGAAACTTTTCTATAGTAGATAAAATAAAAATATTTTAGTTCTGTAGTTGCAGTGGTGGTGGTGGTGGTGTTAGATGCCATTAAGTCAGCTATGACTCACAGTGACCCTGTAAACAGATAGGAACCTTGCTCCAACCACACCAGCCTCAGGGTCTCCTATGTGCACAAGCCCGTTGTTAGAGTCGTTGTGTCCACCCCTCTGTTGGGGGTCTCCCTCTTACCCTCTGACCTTCCACGTTTCCCAGCGTGATGCCTTTCTGTCTTTTTCCAAGGCCTGGCCTCCTATAGATGTAGACACCCTTCACCAAAATAGTGGCCTGACAAATCCCTTGTTTCAGCTCCATTTCTTCTGGCTCAGTAATTCCTAATGAAAACTGGATATATTTCAAGTAAATGCTTCTGAGATTTTCTTCAAACTCTAGCATTATGTGATCCAGTAATACTTCCTTTTTAGTAGCTGCCCTTTTAATTTTCACCAGTTTTAGCACAAAACCCAGTATTTTCTTAATTTTGTATATCTTTTTGGTATCTAATAAGAGAATAAAGGGATGGCAGTAAGATGAAGATGTAGCTATAAATTGGATTTTTGTGTGTATATGTGTGTGAGTTGTTCCCACCCCCCCATTCTTTTTTTAATACACCTAAAAAATGATATCGGAAACTTAGAATAAATATTTCTTTAATGCATCCCATCATGAAAATAGGATTTTGTTTACAGAGGACAATTTTTAAAACATAGAGAAGAAAGCCTTTTTAAAGTAGCTAATTTTGCAGATGAACAGTGTCCTCTGATTGTTTCAGTGTGCATTTCTTTGATTATAATTTTATACCAAAAGAGGATTTAAGGCTACTTTTTGAGTTGCTAGGAAACGAATTTTGTTGAGAAGTTGGGGCGGGGGGGATGTGATCAACGAGGATGAGAGCAAAACCAGGAATATAAAACAGGATATTGTGTGGGTGGGATTTGGCCTTTCTTCATCGGCTTGACTGAGGAGGAGGGGCGCGTGGCAGTGTGTGTGTTGTGAGGTGAGAACGTACTGTGATATATTCAGAGTGGGACGCTTTAGATCTTACAGGTCATATACCCAGGAATTACTTGGAAGGATGTTCAGTGCCTTTCATTTGTGGAAATGAGTGTGTATGTTTTAAATGTCTTTATTCCTTTATTTGTTCAAATTTGGGTATTTTATGAAATAGAACATCAAACAGTAATGATACTTGTTTGCTGCTTTTCTGCACAATTTAGCTTTGAACTCCGTAGATAAAGATGGAGAAGATTTTTGTAAATAATACAAGAATAAATAATAATCAGAGCTTTAAAACAATTGTTATGTAACATAACATACATAATCACCAGGACAGATAGGTTGCCAGCAGAGCTGCTTGTGATGTCATTTTAATTGTTCCAGCAGTTGCCCTTCTCAGTACACGTTCAGTGACACTCGAAGCAGGCACTGAAACGGACAGTGTTCATTGCAGCATTATTCACAAAGCCCAGAGAGGAAAGTAGCTCAAATTCTCATCAACACACGAAAAATATATATCTATGTATAAAATAGAGTATTGCTGAGCTTTAAAGAGAATGAAATTCTGATACATGCAACAATATGTCTGAACCTTGAAAATACGGTTAGAGTCTGACTGACAAAACAAAACCAAAAATTGTGTGATCTCACTGAACACGGAATGTTTTAAATAGGCAAATGGGCAGAATTTATTAGTGACTACCTAGGGCTGAAAGGAAAGGAGAATGAGTTACTAAAGGAGTCCAAAATTCGCGGTTTCAATCTACCAGCTGCTTTGAGAGAAAGATGGACATTCTCCTCCCCTGGGATTTACTGCCTCTGGAAACCTACTGGAGGGCCAGCTAGAAGTCTCCTCCAGCTTGCCAGTAAACAACAAGAAACTTATGTTAAGGAGCGCTAATGGCATAATGGTTGAACTGTCATCTGTTAATAGAAAAGTTGAGCAGTTTGAACCCAACAGCTGCTCCTTGGAAAAAGATAGTGACCTGCTTCCTAAAGATTCAGCCTTGGAAACGCTTTGGGGCACTTCAAGTCTGTGAGTCAGAATCGATGCATTAGCAATGGGTATGCCTGTCTGCAAAATTTTCTTTCGGTTTAATAGAGTTCTGTTTAAATGAAGTTTTTGATACTTAGAATCTTATTAGTCTTGTTGAACGGAGATGGGAAAGCATCAACCGTATAGGAACTTAACCCATGTCTTTCCTCTTCGCATTGGTGATGACAGATATTTTTAGGTATCTGTCTACATTATATTGAGTTGTTTTAAATTGTATAACAATCTGAATATTGAAGGTTATTTTGCCTCCTTGAAATAATAATTGGTTGGTGTTGATTGCCTTCGAGTTGAGCATGACTCATAGTGACCCTATGAACAAAAGGCCTGAAGCCCCTCTACAACAATCACAAAAGAAATATTTTCTAAATAATTTTATTTTAAATGCAACATACTCAGTTGCTACTTTAACATAAAAGTTTTGTTGAAAAATGACATAGTAGAATCCTGATACTTATTTTTGAGCTGGTAGCTTAGTGGTAAGGAATTGAGTTGTTAGCACAAAGGTATGCAGTTCGAATCCTTCTCTTGCTCCATGAGAAAGATGGGCAGTTTCTTTCTGTGCTGTTTGCTGCCTCTGAAAACCTGCTTGAGGGTCAGCAGTGGATTGATTCTGACTCAATGGTACACAACAACAGTACTTATTTTCAGGGAGTATGTTGCCTCTGTTTTATGCAGTAATGTACATTTGAATTTAACTTTGCTGCGGCAAACACTGAGCACTCGCTAGTTAAAAATCCCTGGATAATTGCCTTTTTAGAAGAATTCAGGCTAGACCAGTCTTGACTGTTGAACGTATTTTGCCCTATAAAATACCAGATGGAAGCCTGTATTACTCTTATAATCTGGTCACATGAGGATGTGTGCACTTGTGTGTTGTATGTCTTTAATCATCTTTCCATCCTTGAAGTCCATTAGTTTAAAAAAAAAAAACAAACCATTATAGGTACTAATGTCTTTGAAGCGTACTGATTCAGAACTGAAGCGTCTTTGAAGCTACATTTTTGGCTCTTGCCCCAGAAAATGTACGCACAGGAATTAGCCAGATATGTAAATAACATATAATGGCTTAAACCATATGCTCAGAGAGGTTTGATTGCATTATACATAAGTTTTAAGGATCTTTAAGATTTTATCTGCAACTAGAATCTAAAACCCTTACTGTAAAATATTTATTTTTTATAATAATGTTATATAACATTGTTTGCTCTTTGGAGTGCTATCTTTAATGACTGGGAGAAAAAGTATGCTTTTTCTTGATTGTGTTAAACTTTTGTAGAAACCCCACCTCCTGGATATATTAGTGAAGATGGAGAAACAAGTGATCAACAGTTGAACCAAAGTATGGACACAGGTAAACAATATTCAGAATTACACAGTCATAAAATACATGTTTCTAGACTTGTTCAAAACTCACAAGGGATGTTTATTTCTGGGAAATGTAGGGGATATGTGAAGCATACCCCCCGCCGCCCATCCCCGTACTCCGTAAAGAAACCACCCTTCTAGCATCATGATTAGATAGTGAGCTCTGGTGGCCTAGTGACAAGAAGCTGCACTGCAATCTGAGAGGTTAGCGGTTCAAATCCACCAGATGCTTTGCTGGAGAAGGAGGAACCAATCTCCTCCTGTACCAGTCAGATCCGATTTGACAGTACACACACACAAATAATAAAAATAAAATTAAAAAAAAAAAAAAAAAGGCATGATTAGATGAGACTTTGGTCTTCAAAGTGACTGTCACCTGTTCTTTGTTTAAGCAGTTGTATATTGGGAATTTGGACTGTTTTATTCATTGTGCTGGTGAATTACAACCTAATAGTCCCAATTTTATAACTTAGTTGAAAGTCCTGGAAATAGTGCATCCTTATGAAAAGTAATCCTTTTGTTTCAGGATCTCCAGCAGAACTCTCTCCCACTGCTCTCTCCCCCGTTAACCACAGCTTGGGTAAGTTGTACACATGGACTTTTTCCACCTGTTTTTATTTCTTTGATAAAGTAGTCCACCTGATAATTGTTTTCAAATGTTTAAAAGAGGAATGTCAGTGAATGATCAAACAATTGTTCACATGGTTTGCACTTAGGCTTCTTAAAAAGATAGTGTCAGCAGGACAGAAACTTTTCTGCTGGCGTGTGTAAGAGTGAGAAACCAGTAATATTCTTTGATTCATGAGAATCATGTTCTTAATTCATGGACAACTTCCTGCCTGTTATGGCTGTGTGTGTTTTATGGCACATATGTAATACATACCTGTTTTTCTAATTATTCTTGTCCTTCATTTTACTTTGTGATACCCTAGTTTTCTTCAGATTGTACATATCTGCAATTTGCTTTAAACAATAGTCGATTTTAAAGTGCTAATTCATCTTAGTCAATAATTACTGAAATTATATATAATGCTACTTTTGCCATGATGTATAAACTCTTGATTTCATTTTCCATTTATCACTCGCAGACTCTTAAGATTTACTATTGTACACATGAGGGCTTGCTGTTTTTCAATCTAGAATAACAGAGAATTTCATGTTAAAATAGACCTGTCAAAAATTGGTTATGACGTAGAGTTTTAATTTTTGTCACTTTAGACTCATTTTAGACAGACTTGTTTGTTCCAGCTCTTAAAAGAGCTTGACTCTGCAGTTTGAAAATATATATAAGTAAGGCATGTGGTCTGTGGATTTATTTACTCTCACTGGTTGATTTCAGTTTGAACAGAGTTTAGAAAAAACAACAGTTTAAAACAAGTGATCCCCTATAAAATGTAAAAAAGTTTTATTATTGTGGATTGGGCCAGTTGAAGAGCTGGAAGTCTTAAATTTGTGGACTGACGATGTCCATGATATAGATACTTGCTTGTGTGCTTTTGTCATTGTCGGCTGAGGTAGAGCATGTAAAGAGGACAAGGTTTTGAATATCCATGGATTGAGCTGTTGACACAGTCTTTTGTTTGTTTGTTTCTTTGTTTTGCTCTTTAGATTTACAACCAGTTACTTATTCAGAGCCTGCATTTTGGTGTTCGATAGCATATTACGAATTAAACCAGAGAGTCGGCGAAACCTTCCATGCCTCACAGCCCTCGCTCACCGTATACGGTTTTACAGACCCCTCCAATTCAGAGAGGTTCTGCTTAGGCCTACTGTCCAACGTCAACCGAAATGCCACTGTAGAAATGACAAGAAGGCATATAGGTACGTTTGTTCTGTTTTCATTGTGTAAATCCAAAGTTGCGGCGGGCTGTTGAAATTTTTTCTGATAGGCATTATTACAGGTAATTCTTTTTGCATTTCTGAAAGCACTGTTACACACTCAGCACCACATTAGCTGGTTTTGTGCAAGAAGCCCAGAGTGTCTCTGTCCGCTGAAATATCTTTATGCATCCAACACAGGCCATCCTGCTTTTACTCAGCACTGGTAACTCTTCAGCCTCCATTCTTCACTTTGACTTCCCTTCATTAGGCGCCCTTGATATTGGGAAGTCCTTTAGTAAATATGTTAAAATAACGGATTTGTTGACTCTCTTTGAGTCACCAGTTGCCATGATGAGAGAAATCATGACTTTCCCTTTAGTTTGTTTATCTCTCTTAGGGAATTTTTACCCCTTCTGTTAGTTTATATATTAAATCACATCTGCTAACATTAGTCTGAAGCATGATATCCAACACAAGAATTATTTAGTGTAATCACGTAAAATTCTGTGTAACTCAGAAGGTGGTTTCAGGCCCTCTGGGAGCCCTAGAAGCCCTCAAGGGTTTCACGAAGTCAAAACTATTTTCATAATGATACTAAGATGTTACTGGCTTTTTTACTCTAATTTTTGTGTGGGTAGTAAGTGATGTTTTCCAGAGGCTCCATGACATGTATTTTTGCAAGAGATTAAATGTTGAAGCTGATATGAGAACTCAGACCGTGAAAAGGTTTTCCAAGAGACAAAATTTAGTCATTCTTCTCACAGTTATATTGGGGAGAGATGTAATTATTTTTCATCAAATTGTTTTTTTAAATATATTCTATTGTCTGATGAGATTTCAGTAGGTGCCATCGCCTGACATTTTTATGACTGTTATGCTTTAGTTCTCAATAATTTTTTTAATACTGTTGTGCTTTTGTTCTTCTTTACCAGTACCTGGTGTGAGAAGTGTTAAGAGTATTAAGTTGTAATACTGTAAAATTGTGAGTAAGAATTCTTGGCTCCATGTGGAATTACTTAACTCTTGCTTGATGTGTAAAGTTGGGAACATCTTGCTAAAGTATTTGTCAGTCGGGATTCTATATAAAATTGTTTTCGGAAGGTTTCTTCTGTCCTTTCCGCGTCTCCCTAGAAAACTCTGATTGCTAAGGAAAAAAACAAACAACACTTGGCTGATTTTGTTAAATCATCCTTTTACTTACGATTTCTGGTTTGCCGGATGGTGGTTTTAAAGAACGTAGCCATGGAATCTCTGCTTTTTAGAATGAATGGTTTTGTGTATTTTGTTGATTTTTTTTCTTTAATTCATTTTTGGGAACTTTCTTCCCCCTCCTCCTCCAGCCCTCCCCACAATGCACCCCTTATTCCAGATTGTCCTCATACATGTAGTGCATGATCATATATTCCTTTCAGATACTTCCTCCCCTCATCTGTCCTAATGCAGTGCTCATTATCTGTCACTCTTTCTCCATCTCCCCCCAACCCCCGTCTGTCCTATTTTATAACAGCGGTATTATACAGTATTTATCCTTTGGTGGCAGAGATACTTTGCTTAGCCATAATGTCCTCAAGGCTCCCCTATGTTGTGTAAGTTTTACTGTTTTTCAGTGCTGTGTAGTATTCCATTGTGTGGCCATACCATAGTTTTCCTACCCATTCGTTTATTGATGGGCACTTGGGTTGCTTTCATTTCTTTGCTATTGTGATTAATGCTGCAGTAAACATGAGTGTGCAAGAATGAACGGCTTTTGATAATCACCATGTACATGATTGATACATAAATCTTCTGTAGTCTTCAGAGGACAGAGTTCCGGATTCTACATTAATCTGTTTGGTTTATTGCTTGTTGTACTGGCGTTCCCTCCCTTCACAGTACCACAAGCACAGCAGGTTAAATCAACAGAGCTTTTCAGGGGTCAAGGCTGGGTTCCCTAGGTTTTCTCCTCAGAGTTTCAAAGAATGAAATCAGTATTGGCTGGATAGCATCCCCTGGAGGTCAGAGTCTCCTCTAGGCTCATGCAGTCATAGCAGAACCTCCTTTTTTCCATTTTTAGGGCTGAGTCCTCATTTCCTTGTTGACTGCCAGCCAGAGTTTGCTCTTGTGTTCTAGAGACATGTGAGCTCAACATTAGTAACAGAGACAACTCCAGAATCAAATCCTCGTTCTTAGCCTCAAATCAACCTTGACCAGCAATGACTTAGTCCCCTTGAACTGACCACCTGATTAGGTCATTTTGTTTGTAGAGGATGGGCCTTCCTTCAGTTGACTGCTTGAGGAGATGTGTGACGTCCAGTAAGTGGGATATCATGTTGCAGCCATAGAATTCTGCCTTGCACAGGTTCCTTAAAACAATAATAATAAAATAATTTTATTTGGTCTGTTAAATAAAAATCTATAAAACTCTACCAGAATAGTTTTTTATAATCTAGAAGTTTGTTTGCCACCATAGCATACCTCTTAAAAAGATACAGTGACAAATATAGTGAAGAATACTGCCTTCAATATGGGTTGCATCTCAGTGTGAGAAAGACATTGTTACCACCAGTAGCCAACATCATGATGGGTGGAGAAGGGATTTAAACTGTCAACAACTTCATCTTGAATCCACATAACACCCTTGGTACCTACCAATAGTCATGAAATCAGGAGATGTGTTGCACTGGGAAAGTCTGCAGTTAGAGACCTCTCCAGTTGTTGAGGAGTAATGACGTCACTTTGAAGACTAAGGTTCGTCCAATTAAGGCCATAGTCTTTTCGATTACTTGCTGTGCATCAGAGAGCTGGACAGTGAATAAGGATGACAGAAGAATTGAGGCCTTTGAGCTGTGATGTTGGAGAAGAGTATTGAACATACCATGGACAGCCAAAAGAACAAACAAGTGTGTCCTGGAAAGGGAGGGTGCAGCCAGAGTGCTCTTTTGTGGCAAGAATGATGAGGCTTCACCTCACATACTTTGGGCATGTTGCTAGGAGGGACTTTTCCTTAGAGAAGGTGTGATGGTCGTAAAGATAGAGGATTGGAGGAGGAGAGGCATACTCTCGACCAGGTGGCTTGACACTGTGTCTGCTGCAGTGGGCTCTAGTTGGTCAGGAGTGTGAGGATGGCATGGGGTAGGACAGGGTTCAGATCTGTTCACAGGGGTTCTGTCGGTCGTACTAGACTCGGCAGGACCCAACAACAGAAAAGGTAAATGATTCTGATCTGTTGGTATTTTTATTGTCTTCCCCCCCTCAATTGTACCTGTCTTTGTAAGGAAATTATTATAAAGATAAATTTATCCAAACAATACTTCCTTTAAAATTAACTTGATTTTTTTAAAAAAAAACACTAAAGAAAAATACTTTGTCTGAATTTCTGGTAGCTCTTTCAATCTAAATGAAAGGTGCAGATGGCTAAAGTTATAAACCCAAATTCACTACCATCAAACAGATTCAGACTGCTAGTATCCATATAGGTCAGGATAGAACTAACCCATAGGTTTTGAGGCCATAAATCTCTACAGGAGCAGACTACCTGTCTCCTTCCCATGGAACTGCCCACTGCTTAACACCCACTGTCACCAGAGCTCCTGATACATAATGTAAGTGGCTGATATTTCTAAGTGGTATAGTTTTGAGAATTTTAATATCCTTCTGCATTTCTGTTTTAATACTTTGAATAAGTATTGCTTGCTTTTGCAAATCAATGAAAAAAAGATCATTGTTAAAAATACTTGAAACAATATACAGGGATATCTTTCAAAGAGACTTCAGAAGAGGATAGCTGTAAAAAGGTCGCTTCAGATCATTTTAATAATCCCCCAGAAGCTTCTTCCAAAATCACACTGAAATAGTAAATGTTTCAAGCTAATGCTGTCTGTCTTTTGTTATAGGAAGAGGCGTGCGCTTGTATTACATAGGTGGGGAAGTCTTTGCTGAGTGCCTGAGTGATAGTGCAATCTTTGTGCAGAGCCCCAACTGTAATCAAAGATACGGCTGGCACCCTGCAACGGTGTGTAAGATTCCACCAGGTACGGACACAACAATGTAAATAAATACCGACTTTGTAAATGAATATCAATAAACAGCAACTTGCTAATTGTTTTTTTAATTACTAGTTTTAGAAAGCAGGAGATGGTTTGCATGCGCTCTTACTATAATACATACGTACATATAGTTTTAAAATTGTTTTATAGTAATAGTACTCTTTTTACGGTTTCTTTTCCAATCATAGGCTGTAATCTCAAGATCTTCAACAACCAAGAATTTGCTGCTCTTCTGGCTCAGTCTGTCAATCAGGGTTTTGAAGCCGTGTACCAGCTAACTAGAATGTGTACCATCAGAATGAGCTTTGTGAAAGGGTGGGGAGCAGAATACCGGTGAGAACCCCTTCACTCTCTCTTTTCTGGAGTTTACCTTGTTATCTATTTTCAGTCTGTAGATCTTTATGTAAAATAATGAAGAAGAAAGGCCTTTAGATTTCAAACTGTTACTTTTGCAAAATACTGTTAGTATTTTAGAAGATATTAAAATGTGTATAGACGTATGTTTTAGCATGCATAGTTTTTAAATACCTTTAAAGAATGCAGTTGAGGGGTTATGTCAGTTCATAGGAGAGACATTTTCATCTGGGGCTTATCCTGGTGCCACGTACATAATCTAGATCGTAAAAGATGGATGCGTTTACAGGAGACATAGATAAAGGTTGCTAGCTTTTAGTTTGCCAAAATATGGGAATTAGGGAAGGATAAGACCGGACAAAGAAAGTGAGATTGAGTATCAGATTGAAGAGGTAGAACATGATTTATCTCCTCTCACATTTTGGTCTCATCTTTTTCTTCCTATCTTTTTAATGACCTTTTGTTTTCCTCATGAATCCTTGATGACAGCCTACAAATTTGACTGGTATTCAGTCATTAGTGTCCAGTGCCTCAAATCTATTGAGATGGTGTTTAAATTCAGATGGATAAACAAAAAGTTGGAATTTAGCTCTCATGGATTTGTTTTAATTTACTTGCACATGTAATTGTTAATGTTTCACATTTGTCTCCTGACCTTTTTAAAAAGAGCTACTTAGATCTAATGAATTTCATCAGAAGAAATCTTATGTAAAAGTCACCATTTTGGTTTTTTTGAAAAACTGTATTTACAAGGAATGCAGTGAAGCCAAAACAGAGAGAAGGAGTGATGAATGATATATAAAAGAGCTGGACAGAAGATTTGAAAGGGCAGCTTGGGAAAAATAGAGCCAAGTGTTATAGTGAAATATATGTGCAAAGGCCTTGAGTTAAAAAATCAAAAGGGAAGAATGTGTTTAGCAATTTTGAAGCTGAAAGAATTGAAAAATAAATTCAGGCTTAGAGTTGTAATACTGAAGGATTCTATGGACAAAAATATTTTTTTCCTCTCTCTTTTTAT